ACACCATGGTCAGTCAGGTCAGTTTGTAAGTCAGTACATCAGCCTTTAGGGAAGCTGCACTGCAAAAGGTGACCCATAATGCAATCACCAAGTGGTGATGAGAGAGAGGATACCATTGCAGGGTGCTGTCCTGTGTCAGGGGAGCAGAGGTTTAAAATCTGAGAAGTCTAATGAGTCTTCAGTTAGCTGTGAAAGATACAGCATAAACCTACTGGATGTTTGATGCAGTTGCATTCGTCTGATCGAGTACAGATCAGCTTTACTTTTCTTCCTCCCACACATTTTCCATCTGGGAACTCCTTTGGGGAGTTATGTGTCTCCCTGCAGCAGTAATTCTGGCTAAGGGTGTGCTGGAGGTAGCATGTGTGGTTGGACATGAGCTAAAAGAGCAGTACAGCTGTAGCTAAGGAAGGTTGGATCCTTCTGTTAGACAAGCCAGAAATAAACAGCTTTCACTGCTTCAGTTTTTGACTCCAAAATTTCACCTTCATGCCTTGTGCAGGTTTGCCACTTGGGTGACCTACAACTGCAGTTTGTCTGAGCCATTCATTCTTCTCCATGCCTGCTGATAAGTCCTGCTAGCTTTCTTAGTTTGCCTATCACAGAATCATCAAAATTGGAAAAGACGTCTGAGATCATCGAGTCCAACCTATGACCTTACACTACCATGTAAACTAGACCATGGCACTAAATGCTATGTCCTGTCTTTCCTTAAGCAAGGAAATGGTTCAGCTTTGTAGATCCAACACTTCATTGTACTGCTAACCTGCAGGGAGAAGGTATCTGTGCTCCCCAGAGAGGCCTGCAGGTTTTCTGAGGGCAACACAGATGCTCTTCTAATCAGTGTAACAACCACTCCTGAGGGATTCTTAAAATCTAGAGATATTGGCTTCAGTGGGAGATCTACAAACCTCCCAGCTTTCCAGTGGACACAGTTCTTAAAATCCCTACTTGGACCCAGATCCAGCAAATATTTGGGTCTCATCTTCCTTTTGATTTTAACTAGCCCTAAACCCTGACCTGTAGGCTTCTCAATCAGCTAATAGTACAACGTGGAGCAAAGCAACATTTAACCTTTGAAAATTTGGGCTATAGTATAAAGCTTTTCAGCACTTTGAATTTTTTTTTTCCCTGTAGGCATATACAAATATTCAGAGAACCAGATGTTAGTAAACTGAAGAAAAACTATTGCCGCAATCCAGATGATGATTTTCACGGTCCCTGGTGTTACACAGATGATCCTCTTGTTCCCTGGGATTACTGCCCTATTTCTCGATGTGAGTACTTGGGATGCCTCTGGCATTGTCAGCTGTGCAGTCCCACTGAAGCCACAGTGTCACATGCATATGTACACCTTGTTATTGTCACTTGGGGCAGCAGAAAATGTGTGATCCTGGGAAGAATCAATTGTGCGTGACTGAGAAAAGGAGCAGACAGAAGTTGCTTGTGCAATGTATGAACAAGGGGTTCTTTTCCTTGACCAGCTTGGAGATTTCAAGGCTTATTTATGCAGCAGGAGCACAAAAGGGCTATTACAGATGGTCAAACATTTTCCAACAGATCTAGCTATTGAATGAGGGCTGGACGGAGACAAAGAATTGTCTAGTGGTCAGAATGTTGGCTGTGGCCTCAAGAAACCCAGCAGAGTTATCTTCTGGGCTACAAGCTTCAGAGTTTCTTTGTGTGATCTGTCTTTGAAAAGTCAGGATCATTCACTCTCTCTCTCTCTCTCTCTCTATATATATGTATATGTATGCTGAAGTGTATATGTGCTATACAGATTAGATTCTCCTTTATGGGATGATTTAACTCCTGGCAAGAATGAGGAAAATCACACCTCCAAAGCTGAATGTTTAAATCTAAACACCTTAAATAAACAGAATTAAAAAATCCTAGGGAATTCAGTAGTAAACCAACATTAAGTGGAAAAAGAGGGTATTATGCTGAAAAACGTGCAATTCACGGTTGTGTTTGAAATTTTTTTCTTTTGTTCTGATTTCTAAATTGCTCTGCTGGATGTCCTGGGAGAACATTAAAATGGTAAATCAGGCTTTGAATGCATGTCTGCAATCTCTAGAGGTTAGGGATAATGTTACACTCGTTCCTAGAGGCAATCTGCTGCATTTCCTCATGGTCTGAGCTGCAGCATCTCTAAGAAGTGATATTTGAAGTCTCAGGTGATGTTTTGGCATCTATGTGAAGAGTAAATAAACTAAGCAAAAGGTTATTTGTGTCAATATAAATAAAGAGCAGCAGTTGAAGAAATATACTTTTTATTCACTTTCTCTGAGTTCATTATCTGGATCTATGAATTCCTAAGGAAATATTCACATTTGTAAGCTACAGAGAAATGGTGAACATTATGAGTTCAGCAATCAAACTCCAGAGTGGGAATATGTCTGGTTTGCAATTGGGACTTATAGGGATTAGTATTAAACTCATATGGACTAGTATTAAGCAACTAGTAACTCATTCAAGTACTAATAATCAGAATAACCAGTAGAGACAAAATGATGGCAGTTCCCAAGTGAACTTACTTGGTGCCTTTAACTGGTTTATTCAAGCTGCAATATATATA